TTTATGTTTATAGATACATGCTTTATACATACATGTAGAGGGGCATGTGACTGTAACATTGTATGCACTAGGGCACATGCTATTTCAAGTAATAAAGGGATAAAATAAAAGATCATTTCCATAGAGATTGGGATCGATTCTAATTAAGTGCAATACTAGCTAGATTTCTTAAATTGAAGTTTTATCCCACTAAAAAATTGAAAGTTTAGAGTTTTAAGAGCTAAAGTATTCTAGGGTTTTGCAAATATGAAAGGTTATCTAAATCTTTAAATACCAAAAAATTTATACAAATGTGTTTTAGGTTTCATAATAATTTGTTGTCAATTGATAACAATACTATCCCTTAATCTTATTGAACATGAGTTAAGATTAAGTTATTTTAGAGAAATTGAGTCTTCATATGTTATTTTAGAGATATTCTTATCATAAACCAGACAAAAGGCTTTGTAAACACAATTCTTCAAGAGAGTGCAATTTCTCAAAAATCAATATTTCTATGTTTTAAGAGAAATGATTATTAAAACTTACTGATCAAAGTTGGTTTTAAAGCATGTCTAGCCAAAATATATTTAAATAAAGATAGGTTGACAAAAGAATAAATTTTCCACGGAACTTTCAAATCAAGGCACGAAGTACAAAAGCTTTAAGATAAATACAAATTCGAAGAATGAAAACTTAATTCTTGAACACTTTCAACAAAATAAAACCTAAAAACGCAATTACAACTGATTTTATGCTAAAGTTATAAGAATATATGGTGTAAATGACCTAGCACATAATTTTTTTTTTATATATAGAACTAACTTGGCACACGAACTTATAAAGGTATGGTAATATCACTACATTGACCGTATGAATACCTAAGTGCATGGAAAACAACTGCATAAACACATGGATTACTTATTTTAACCATGCACATTCACTTAAGCACATACATTCACACAAGCACATTTTTATGAATATACTAACAAGACACATTCACAAGGCGTGCATGCTCTTTCTCTCCCTTGCTCTTTTCTTTTATCTCTATTGTTCTCGAGTAAGGGTTTAGGGTTAGGTTTAGGCTTGATTAGGAAATTTTTTAGGCTATGGAGGGTTTGGGTAAGGTGAGTTTAGGCTAGGCTAGAGTTAGACCACATATGGTTTGGGTAGAGTGAGTTTAGATCATGTAGGGCTCAAGTAGGGAAAATGTGTTCATGTGTGTGTTCAATTAAGCATGAAGTGGGGTGCATAGGTGTGGGTTTAGTGGATTTTGAGTAGGTTAATCGGTTGGGTAGGCTAGGGTTAGACCATATATGGTTCATGTATGGTGAGTTTAAGCTATGTAGGGCTCGGGTAAGGCGAGTTTAAGTTGGATGGGTTCATATATTATATTGTTAGAGCACATATGGTTCTGGTTGGGTGAGTTTAAACAATGTAGGGCTCGGTAGGGTGAGTGTGTTCGTGTGTGTATTTTGGTAGGTGTGAAGTGGGGTGCAAAAGTGTATGTTTAGTGGATTTCAGGTAGGTTAGTGGGTTTGGTAGGCTAGGGCTTGATCATATATGGTTTGATTTTAGTGACTTAGGCATATATTGGCTTGATTTACTTGGGTTTTAGGTAAGTATGTGTTTTTAGGTTAGATTATGGTTAATTTGGATTTTTTGGGTTGGGTAAATTTTGGATTAATTTGGGTAGCTAGTGTTTTATGCTTGGTTGTGTAGTGATTAAGGTTGGGTAATGGATGAGTGTGTTAGTGCTTAAAATGGGTTTGAGTGATGTTGTGATCTTGAGTTGGGTAGGGGGTTATTGTAATTTTAGTGAATAGATTTTGGGTAAGAGAGAATGCATGGTAGGTATAGGCTAGGGTTGGGTATTCATATAGGATAGAAAGTGGGACGAAGAAGTAAACCATTGTGCAGGATTTAGGTTTTGTGAAAATGTAGAAATTATGAGAGGTTATCGTTAATGTTTGGGTCATGTGAGTGAGTGTGGGTGTTTAGTATGGTTTCAGCCATATAAAAAAGTGGGGAAGAAATGAAAAAAAGGGTTTGATTTATATGGGGAAATAGGAAGGAGATAGGAAGAGGGTTGAGTTTAAATGAAAATAAGAGGAAGGAATGAGGGTTGGGTCATGTTTTGGATCAAAATAAGGGGAGGACATGAAGAGAAGGATTTGACCATGTTGGGTAAGGAGAGAAAAGGGAAAGAAACAAAGTTCTCCTATAGCCTACACCTTGCAAATGATAAAATGAACAAGTGGGGTGAGAGCATTATACCTTCCTTGGTTGGTATCCTTCCTTGATTGCTTTCTTGGATGAGAGATCTTCTTGCTTGATGTTAATCCTCGTTGATCTTCTCAAATTTGGTAAGGGAAAAGAGAGGGGGCCCTCAATTTGTTGGAAGGAGATGAGAGGAGGAGAGGTGTTGACCTCACTTTTGGTTGAGGTCTAG